GGATCCCACATACAGACTGGTTCCGGCTCACTGGCTGGGCGAGGCACGGGAGCAACACCGAGGGTTGCAATCCCGTTGCCGGTCCCCGGTCCGGTGCGGGGGCAGCACTGAGGGTTGCGATCCGTTGCCGGACATGGAAAAAGACAAAAGACAAAAAAAAAAAAAAAGAAAATCTCTTTGGGGCCGGCCCGGTGGCACACTGGATAGTGCGCCGCTTGGCAAGCGCAGCGGCGCTCCCGCCCGGAGGTTCGGATCCCACATACAGACTGGTTCCGGCTCACTGGCTGGGCGAGGCACGGGAGCAACACCGAGGGTTGCAATCCCGTTGCCGGTCCCCGGTCCGGTGCGGGGGCAGCACTGAGGGTTGCGATCCGTTGCCGGACATGGAAAAAGACAAAAGACAAAAAAAAAAAAAAAAAAAAAAAAAAAAAGAAAATCTCTTTGTATGTTTCTGAGAGTAATAACACCAACATTAGCTAAATTTTATTGAGTACCTACTATGTGACAATCACTCTGCTGAGGACTTTACATAAACTATCTCTTTTAATGCTCACAATAATCCTGTGGAGTAGATTCTGGTAGTAACCCCAAGAGGAGAATTAGGGAAAGAGAGTTAATAGTATGCTTGAGGTTATCTGGCTAGTAAGTAGCCAGCACAGGCTGAAGCTGCACATTATTGCCATAGGGTTTGAGAAATCATTCATTCTTTGTCTGAATCATTTTAACAAGACTTAAATCTAGGTTGATGTAGTTTAAAATGTACTTTATGCACCCACGATGGTTTTATAGGTTTGGGTGATGATCTAAGACAAAATGACTTTACAATGGAATTACATTGCTAAGAGCTACTTATGTAATGTACGATTTATGCATATAATTCCAGAGATATTCCAAAGGGAATAATTTCTTCCACCACCACATGGCTTTCCCTAGTAACTTGCTCTGCTTTCTTCCTTGTTTTTTGGAATCTCTTAGGTTGGGGGAGAGAGAAAGAGCAAAGAAGGGAGAAATGATGATGGTTATGATGATGGTGATGGTGATGTTGATGATGTTGATGGTTGCTATGGCAGAAATGGTGTCTTGATGATGATGATGGTGATAGCTGACATCTATTGAGGCCTTGTGTGCTGAGTACTATGATGAGTTCTTTACTAGCATTATTTTATTTACTCATCAGAAAAAGCCTATAAAAGGCTGATTAATCCCCATTTTCTGACCAGGAAACTGAGTCTCTGGGAATGGAACTTGCCCAAGATTATAAACCCAGGTGTGTGTTAGGGCCTATGCTCTTAACAATTACGTTGTAGAAAGGAAGAAAGAAGAATTAAATAACAAAGTTTAGCATCAGCCTTCCAGCTCTTTTTAAATACAGCCTTCAGATAAAAAGAGTTGCAGCTGCTGGAGAAGTTTCCAACTTTCCGAGGACCCTGTTATCCTGAAGGCCATAGCTGTGATGGGCATCCTTATGGGTTCCCAGTCTAAAACCTTCACAGAATTATCTCCAGAGGGCATATTTTAAAGGAACCCCAGCTACTGGGGATTTTATTTCTCTAGTGCTTTTTTAGGATTGAAACAACCTTTTTTAGGAAGATTTGAATTAATATACCTGAATTAAGGTGAGGCAGCAAAAGAGTCGTGATTATACTTGCATACTTAATATGTGTTGTCATTTCATGATTCTTATTTCTATGCATTTAGAGTACATTTACCAAAAACTTAGTGCCCAGGTGTTAGAATAGCACTGGAAAAGGCATATCTCAACCAAAGACAGAACAAAATGGGGAGAATTTAAAATGTTTTATTAATTTCCCTTTTGAAGAATCATAACAAATCTGCTGCATTAGCATTGATCTCAAATAAAGCAAACCTGACTATTAAGTGCTGTAAACCCCATGAGGAAGAGCAGGAACAGCCTAGACACCGTAATGTGCTGATAAATGTTGAACGACTGGCTTTCTGGGAGGGAGAAAGCCCTGGTTTGTGGCATTGGCCAATTTCCTAAGTGTAAAAACCCCCACTACAGCCTATTTCTAGCTATCGGTGTGCAATTTCTGAATTGGGGTTGGGAAGAGATATACAAGATCAACTCTCTAGACCAAAGTGCTACTATATCCCATTAGGACGGCATTATGGTAGGCAATCAGCTATTTTAATCCAGTGGCTGTCCTGGAGAACCGCCAGTCTGGACTCAGTAGCTATGGGACCATGGGCAAGTCACTTCACCTTTCTGGGCCTTTGTTTCCTTCTCTGCAAAGGATAGTATGAAAGATCCCTTTTACCTCTAACATTTTAAAGTTCTAGAAGACAGTGCCTCCTGCTTTCTCCAACATCCAAATGCCTTTAAGCGCCTCCTTTCTGGAAAACCAAGTTAGCGCTGTGCTGCATCCAAAAGTGCCTCCAATTTCATCTACTGAGCATAAGGTTTGGAAAGGAGTGAGTTACTCCCTTTTGCCTCTTTAAATGTGTAGCCAATGGGGCATCATACATTTTTTACACTTCTTTTGCTAGATGTGAGATCCAGGAGGAAACGCATGGATGTTCCAGGGCTTTCTTGTTCTCCTGGGGTGGGAATCAGCGTGTGATGTGCTGATTCCTTGCTGTATGCATTTCCTACCTCCCTACCCTTTCAGCGGCAGAGCAAGAGTGTTGATAGTAACCTACCTTTTTATTTCTATTTATTATTTTTTTTATTTTTTTACTATCTAAAAGCCATTTACAAGAGTAGGAACTGCTTACATAAAATGGAGGGGGGTTTGTGTTATTTTTTTTCCCGAAAGGTGGCACGTCTCTCAGCAAAGAGAAAAAGGCATGTTGCACAAGGCTTGCTGGCAGTGATATAAGCCAGCGCCGGTTTGTCTGTTGTCACAGCCAAAGCAAAATGCCACCTCTGCCTAGAAGCCAGAGTGCCACACTCCTCTTTTGTGTCCCTGAGATGTACCCAGCATGAGGCCCTGGACTTGCAGGTTTGGCCAGGAGGTTACCAGGGTTGCCTGAAGGTCAACTTCCAACCCCGGGAGGCAGGGAGAAAAGGGAGGTTGCTTATGTCTCTCAAAATAGAGGCTTTGAGCCCCCAGATTGCATGTCAGATACAGCCAGTGAATGTGGAATTTGAGGCCTGGGGTGAACACAAGAGAGCCCCTAGCTGTGCCAGGAGTAAGTCAGAGCTGCAGAAATACCAGTGACCCAGTGATATTCCTGTCTCTGGACCACTTCTTAACAAACCCAGATGCAGGGGCAGCAAAAGCTCCAGAATCCCAAGGCAGGAGGTGCCAAAAACACCCCCCAACAACCCTCTACCAGAAAAAAAAAGTTTCAGTAAAATATTCTCACCCCTGGAGGGGAAAACCTGTCCATGCCTGAAGCAGCTTGACCCTAGCGAACACCCTCCCCCCATGGAGTGAACTGCAAATCTCAAGAAAAAAAAAATCCCCCACCCCCCACCCCGCCTGCTCCCTGGGGAGGGACAGAAGGTTCCTAAAACTGACAGTTTCGCCTTCATGATCTTTAAAAGAGCAGAAGTTGGCTGTGAGGCTGCAGTGCTGCCTTGATTGGGGTAGTGTGGTCTCTGTCGCGGCTGGGCTCCAGGGAGAGCCGCGATTGGCTCTGATGAGGAAGGAGCCTAGAAATGAAAGATTGCAAAGAGGGCTTCTCTATGCCATGGCTGAGACTGTGTCGTTTCTTGCAAGGTGAAACTTGGCAATTCTACCTTGCAAGTAAAAACCCAAATTAATTTTTTTAGAGAAATTAAGTCAGAAACAAGGCTTCAGAAAAACTGTGAGTGTTAGGCATAAACTGATTTTGGATGATCTTTAGGTGAGAAAGGGTGGAGTTACCATCGGAAACATGTTTTTATTTATGCTTTTCGAATCCCCACTGGTGTGCGATGTGTGTGTGTGTGAGCGCATGCATGTGTGTGCGTGTGTATTGGTTAGCATGAGAATATATATCGTCTCAATTCTCTAACCACTCTTTTTTTTTTTTGCATCTTTTCTGTGCACAGTTCATATAGACGCCCTATAAATAAATATATAGGTCCATCCACACCTTTTCATTTTATTTGTAAATTGTTTGGTTATAAGCAGCAGAGCGTAATGAAACCTGGTGAAGTTTAAAAGATTAGATTTTTTTTTCATACTGACACTTCATAACACTGTTCATATGTCTCCGAGTGAGATTTATGAATATATGAGCAGTACTGCAAAATTATACTGCACCAGAGACTTCCTGCACCACAGGGGTGGCAGTCTAAAGTGACACAGCTTCAAGCATTTTTCACAGACAAGAAGCAAAATTTAACCCCCTTAAGGGGAAGTATGATTTCAACAGCTTGAAATGAGCTCATTTGTAGATTTTTTTTTTTCTCTCATCTTCCATAATTTTTGGGTGTTAAGATTAAAACAGATTGCACAGCCAATGCAGGGGCACATAAAGTGCCCAGAGTACAGTTTGGCCTTTAAAGAGAAATCCTCATTCATTGTCTTTATCAGGAACATCCCGGGTAAATGAAAGTAAACTTGTCCCTAAATTCCTAAGACTCTCAGCCTGATTCCCAGAATTGTACCTAACTTATGGGGTCTGGAGTTTTCAAAAGGTAAGTGGTAAGTGGAGAAGCCCTCATCTCTCTGGGTACTGGAGACAGTGGCATTAGAAAACAAGCAGTGTGTTGAATCTCAACTGAGTAAAATTAACCAACAAAACAGAGAATCAGAAGAGCAAAAGATGGTCTCTATGAACCATAGGAAATGAATGTATAGGAAATGTCTATGGTGGAAGAGTTCTTTCTATGTTGGATTCAAAGTCCAAAGCGATCTCTTTTAGACTGATCGGTACCTTGTGATTTTGTGTAAATTAATGTTCATGATCTCTATGCTCTCAAATTCTCTTTAGCTGTTTTGTTTCCTTCTGGAACAGAGCGGGGTACTCAGATGTGGCCCATTCCCTCTCAACCCTATAAACGCTTCATGATGTGTTGGCTGGAGAACTTTTGTCTCTTTTTTCAGCAATGGTACAACAGCTCCATGAATGTGATCTGCACCTGGTTGACGGACCGGATGGACTTACAGCTTCACATTTATCAGTTGAAAACACTAATTAGGATGGTAAAGGTAAAAGAAAAAATAATTATTATTCTTCGCCAATAGCTTACTGACATACATTTCATTGGCAAGCTGCAGATCTTCCTTAACACAAAGAATATTAGTTTATATATAAATCAAGATGATTTCTAAAACAATACCTCCCACAAGAAAAAACTATGAAATCATTTTGTGATGCATGGTTTATTACTGAGACATTAAAGAAAAATTTAATAAAAATTAATTTGTTATCTTTATCCACATAGGAAAAATATGTATTTGCCATGCAAAAGTACTGCAGAGACCATCGTACCCTTTGTATTAGACTTTCAAAAGCTGACTTTTGGTTCTGTTATGCTAAGAACACCGATTACCAATTTCATTTATAGTTTTTAATTAAATGGAATTTTGCCACAATTAATTGAATAGAAATATTTACCTCTGGCTATTTCTAAATATGTCCTGTGATCGTTATCAGAATGCAAATCAATATTGTTCTCATAGTTAATTGAAGTAGTTTCTCTTACAATGCGTGTATACAATCAAATGTAAAGGATCACAAAGGTGAGATAACATACCCTGAAAGTAGCTTTTTTCCCTGTTCTTGTGTGTGCGCCTTGGACTAATGATAATTATTTCAGCGTGAAATCTCAGTGGTTTACATGAAATAATAAGATCACAGAAGGGGGTAAATACGTTTTTGATCATTTCAGTTTCCATTTGATGCTTCACCACAGAGGGTTTTAAAACACTCGTATGCAAAAATCTCCTTCAAAGAACAAAGTCTCTTAAAATATTTTAACAATAAACGTGGCTGAATTGTTATTTCTTAACAGTTTGCCAAATTCCTGCCCCCCACACCTGCCCCCTGCTACCCCACCTCTCACCTCCCGACCCCTTTCTTAGTTTCTTTTGGATTAGCACCATTTTACTGAAGGTGCTCCTTCTACCCCAGTCCTGACTTAAAACGAATTACTGTTCTGTTGAGTGTAATTAAGGAGAATTAATATCATCTGCATTTGATCTCACAAAGCATCTACCCAAGGAAGGTTACAGACAACAGCATATTGCAGCTCTTAAAAAAGGAATGTGTGCACTCCGGCTATGAACCAACTTAATTTTCACATTTTTTACTGTAGTTCCTTAAGGCAAGCTCACTAGCCATTGCCTGACCACTTGAATTCCATTTTGGGGAGTATAAATATGGTTGGGGAGGGAATTTTCTGTTTGGCCCTTACTGGGTAGACATGAAAAGAAGACATAATTGTAATATTTTTAAATTATATTCTCATTACTGATATTTTCAAATCTATGTTAGGAATTAGCAATATTTTATTAAGAAACAAATATGAGAAAGGAGGTTTAATCTTAGTCTTCTGCCAAAAAAAGAAAAACAAAAACAAAAAAAACATAGACATGAACCACAGAGAAGGGACACAGAAGTGTCACTGCCAAAGAAATCTCTTCACCTTTGCCAAAAGTGGGCCCAACTTAACTAATGCCACACCAGAGAGGTAAGAAGAACTCATGAGCTATTTACTGAGCATGTTACCCAGAGGTCTCCTTCAGTGCAAATTTCCTAGTATAATTGGCTTTCTTTTCTGCCTCAATAGCCACTCTGTTTATTCATTCATTCATTCATTCATTCATTACTCAGCAAGCATTTATTCATTCATCCAACATTACATGAGCCCCCTACTTGTATATTACAAGTATTAGGTGAGCCCCCTACTTGTATATTACAAGTTAGGGGATTCAAAAATGACTAGACATGGTTTCTGTCCTTTGGCAGGTGGAGTCTAGTTGGGGCACCCACTGCTCTGGAATTCATATAAAGGGGAGAATACTCAAACGCTTTTTGCCTTTCTTCTTCCCTCATATTCTGGCAACAATTATGTTATTCTAAGGGGCAACAGAGCAACTGATTGAAAAGTACAAAAATTCAAGTTAATTATTTGGATTTCTGGTCTGCACCCTGCCTGCATTTACTCAGCCTCCCACCTTTCCCAGTCAAGGTGAAGGCAGTTGAGGTAGTTGCCTACCTTCCTCCTCCTCAGACAGCCTGGCAGCTTGATCCGTGATTTAGGATGACCTTATAATTTGGTGTCTAAACCAGGTTACTTCTAAGTGGAAAAGAAGGTGCTGTGAATAATCATACTGGGATAACAGACATCAACTGACAAAGAGGATATGTGGTCATTCTATCCATAATCTTATACTATTGAAATTCACTAAGCCAACTGCATTCACTAGTTAACTCTACAGTCATTACCACATATGACCTTCAAGAGGGGTTGACACTGTGATTGTTGAGACTACGACTGCGTTAGATGGCCTATTAAAAATAGAAATAATGATGGGAGTGGTGTTGAAGTATGTTAACTTTCTCTTGCCTCTTTAGAAAGTTTCCCATGTCAAAAGGAGGCACAAACAGAAGAATCAGTAGCAGAAATGATATGCAGTGTGATAAGAAGAGTTGTAGTTAGAGAGAGACTTTTTTTAAAAAATAAAATTATGAAGTAGACAACAGCCAGATGCTTCTGGTCATGTTCAATTAACACTAAGGGATTTCTAGAAAAACAGTCCTTGAGATACCTAAGGAAATCCGAGAGAAATTGCCTGAAGGAACAAAGAAAGAACTTGTGGTACAGTAATACCAATCCATTGTTCTTGAAAAAGAGCCAAATTTCTTCCCCGAGACCATGAAGTTGTGAACAGAGTAAATACAGTTCTTTCCCAAGGAGATGAGAAATAAGTCACATGCCTGCAACATATTGATGAGGCATTAGCGATCCATCTTTCTCAGAATTGTTGCTGCCTGTAATAGGTTTCATATACCAACATACATATGTCTGTCTTGTGAATGAGACAGAGAGATATGGCTCATGCAGTTATAAGACTCAAAAATGCTAAAGACCAGACTGCAACAGAAGTCACAAACTATGATAATCACTTGACTTGATCTATTATTTAGATGTTATAGCCCCTTACGCTGTCTTATCATATTATGTTGTACTAACCTAAGAGAAAGAACCAGACCAAAAAAAAAAGAACCAAAACAATTATGGAACATTTCCCTTTATGAAATTGAATAAACACAAGCTTATGTTCTTTGCTTTGTCTCATCTAATACAGTTTATCCTGTCACAATTTCTCATTTTCTGTCATTCAGTGGATCTCAGTTTTCAGTACAAGTGAAAGCTGAGCATGGTGGCTTCTTATTTGACAATGCATAAAGTGTGACACTTAGCTGAAGGTCAGTGCTCTGACATGCACACCTGCTTTGTACCCTCTTCCTCCCCATCATGGAGATGAATTCTTCCTTATCACTGCATCTTTTCCCTCCTTAGAAAACCTATAGAGATTTTCGATTGCAAGGGGTCCTGGACTCCACTTTAAACAGCAAGACCTATGAAACCATCCGGAACCGTCTTACTGTGGAGGAAGCCACAGCATCAGTGAGCGAGGGTGGAGGTCTGCAGGGGATCAGCATGAAGGACAGCGATGAGGAAGATGAAGAAGATGATTAGATCATTCAGTCCTAGAGGCCACTGGGACAGAGTCCTGTAATCAATGCATGTCCTTAGTCTGTTAGTTATCCCCATTAGGGAATTTTCTGTCAACTACCATGCCCATGAGATGTTTCCAATAAAATTGTCATTTTAGCTATGTGGTACCAAGATTAGCAAATTACCTTCAAATCCACTGATTTCCTAATTTCCATGTCTATACGTTTACAAGCAATATGGAGCACCATTCTTTAAATTCTGTACATGGAGAATACATAGTCCAACTGCTAGGTGTGTCTCTGTTATCAGCAAAGTTAAATGATGCTTCATTCATGTACTATGTATGCATTGATGGTAAAAGGATGTGAGGGCTAGTACGACAAATATTTTCATTTCTTTGTTTCACATATGTGGATGCCAGTTATTTAAATGAGTATGTATATATAATTTCATTGAGATACAGATATCTGCCTTGTTTTTTTGAAAAACAAAAGGCAAGTCTCCAACAACAAACTTTCAGTTCTTTCTGGTCCCCTGAAACTAAAAAATAAACCCTTTGTGTTCTTGTTAACCCATCCTTTCATTTATCTATATAGTTAGCCAAAAAAGGATGGCTACATACCTATGGATTGATTCTCTTAATTGCCATGTCAAGGGGGCAATCCTATCATGATTTAACATCAAGCACAGTTCAGAGCAACTGTCTTCTGTCAAAGTTTATCCTATTAAATGTTACATTTTGCTTTTATGTTTCAATAACTGTGTATGTAAAAAAAACTGAATATTTAAATTACAACCCTAGACTATAAATGTGTTTATAATGAGATATGGATATTTCCTTCAGTACATTGTAACCATAATTTAAATTATTTTATTCCACACTGTTTTTTATATCTGTCATGTACATTGCATTTTGATCTGTAACTGCACGACCTAGGGGTCCACTGCAGAGCTATTTCTTTTCGTTTAAAGTAGTGAATCCATCTTGCTTTTTGCCTTATATAAAGCCTACAGTTATGAAAGTGTGGAAAACTGTGGCTTCTCAATAAATAACTATTCAAATGTCCTAAAAATATATGTTTGCATCTGTCTTCCTCTGTCTCCTTTGAAAGCTAGAACTGTAACACAGAAGCAGGATGGGAAAGGAAAGGAGAGGAAAGCAGTAATTTTCTTAGAGTGTTTTTGAAACTGTTGGAGTGGGTCATTTTCAAATGCTTGTAGTTCTCCATGAGAAACTGCCTAAAATTCTGCTAATTCAGACTCCAGTAATTCAGAATCTGTGGGCATTTGGACATGTTGGGCAGATTATGCTTGCATTATAGGATAAATAAGGGTTTGCTAAGCAAGTGAGTAGTATAAACGAGAGAAATGTTTCTCCTGTACGAAGAGAAGGCCAACAAACTGTTTTTAAGCACCACTTTAACAGCAGTGTTTGCATTCAAACAAAGCGTGTGCCAATTATATATGATTCTTATATATTTGTTAAAGCATTTTATAAGATTCTCTAAGACATGGAGTACTTTTGTCACTCCCTAGTCCCTGTCAGCAACATGATCACCTACGTTTGAAAGAAATCAAACATTTTGTATCCTTGTTTGTTTTATTTGTATCTCTCACTAAACCAGGTTGACCTTTTTCCTTGGGGCTGAGTAGAATTTTAGGGAAACAGCTACTTTTTCAATAGGACCAAGAATGGTCACCAGTTCTCTACAAAACAACCCCTCTAGGTAGCACATCCCACTCTGTTCAGTCCTTTAGACCTGCAGGTACAAATCAGTAGTACTTCTTGCCATGAGTGGGTTTACAAGAGAACTCCCATTTACTGAGCAACTATTCTGCATGTTTCGCCTCATGTAAGTCTCACAACAATCATAACAGGAGAGGACTGTTATTATCCTCATTATAGATGAGGACATTAAGGTAAAAAGGTTAAGCTAACTTGCCCAGTGGTTACACAACTTCATGCAGAAGCATTAACCCAGAAATACTAGCATGAAACTGGTAATACAAATGGGGATGTATTATTCAGGTCTGAAACACCTTCTATTGCCCAACGGCACATAGTTAAGTCAGAGTGGCAAAGCCAGGATTTTTTTAAGTATATTTTTATTCTATTTTGTGTTGCAAAACTGAAGCATATTTTTTGCAGCAATTAAAAACAATTCAAAAATGTGCAAAGTAAAGAGGGAGCATCTACCCAGGTTATAAGAGTGGGAAAAAGGAAGAAAATATTCAGGAGCCCTGGAGGGGAGCTAAGTGGGTGGGTTAGATAACTAACCAAAGGGCGTGATCCAAAAGGCATAAAGAGAACCATGCCAGAAAAGACAGTGTCTCCAAAACCAAGGTAAAAATAAGAAGATTCCTTCAAAAGAAAAATTTACCAGTGCCTAGCACTAAGGATATCCTGTTAAATATCCTCCCCTACTGTGCAACCCTGGAAGAAAAGCTGTGGGAAAGGAAATGACATCAGAAGAGTTGAGAGAGAAAGCACTGACCAAGTTGAAACTTCAAGTTATACTTGCTGTATTAGTCCATTTTATGTTGCTATAACAGAAATACCTGTGAGTGGGTAATTTATAAAGGAAAGAGGTTTATTTGGCTTATGATTCTGGGACAGCTGTGTCTGGTGTGGGCCTCAGGCTGCTTCTACTCATGGCAGAAAGCTGTAAGCAACAAGCGGGCACAAGCAGATCACATGGCAAGAGGAAGCAAGAGAGAGAGAGGAGGTGCCAGGGTCTTTTAAGCAACCAGCTCTCATGAGAACTAATAGAGCAAGAACTCACTCAGGACCCCCACCCTACAGGGAGAGCGTTAATCCATTCATGAGGGATCCGCTCCCATGACTCAAACAGCTTCCAACACTGCTACATTGGGGATCAGATTTTCACATGAGTTTTGGGGGGACAACACATCCAAACTCTATCACTCTGCCCCTGGACCCTCAAAACTCATGGTACATGATAAAGAACAAGAGGAACAAAACCAAAGATAATTGCTTACTATGTGTACATTATATACACATAGAGACATATTCTTAACACAACAGGGAGAACAATTACAATCCTCATTTCTATAACTGGTCATGTGGTTGAAGCTGGTATTTATAACTTCCTTCTTCTACTACCCATTCTGTACTCCCTTTGCCTTCAGCGAGCACCTCAGCAGGTTGTGATTCTTTACCTGGTGGAGTGACCCAAACCTTCATCCCTGAAGAGTCTGGGCCATTTGCAGTCTTGCCTGGATTTGGTTGTAATTTTTCACTGACCTTAATCACAGGGCATGGAAGTACTAAGAGACGTCCTAAGGGATCCCCTGTATTCCAGATATAATCTTCTTTACCTCCATTGTGAAGTAGTAGTTCAACTTCCCCTTGGAAGTCTGGGTCAATCACCCCAGCCAACACTGTAAGTCCTTTCTTAGCCTATTGACTCAGAGGCATGGGGAGTCCAAAGTGGCCAGGTGGCAGTCTTAATTTGCAATTCAATGGGATCATTTTTGTGTCTCCTGATGGAAGCATTCCTCCTTCTGGAACCGAGACCTCTAGACCAGCAGAGCATAAAGTTGCGGGGACAGGAAGCAGAAATTTTGCTAATGGGTCCCTAGACGTAATGGTGAGTGGTGCCACTTCTGTTTCCATCCCTTGATTCTTGGACCCGTGAATCCTGGCTATAGGAGAAACAGTACCATATATTGGGCACTGATTTAGAGTATATACAGCCTTCCAGAGAACTTTGCCCCAGCCCTGCAAGGTATTGTCACCTAGCTGGTGCTGTAACTGTGATTTCAAAAGGCCATCCCACCGTTCTGTCAGACCAGCTGCTTCAGGATGATGGGGAACATGGTAAGACCAGTGAATACCATGAGCATGAGCCTATTGCTGCACTTCTTTAGCTGTGAAGTGAGTTCCTTGGTCAGAAGCAATGATGTATGGAATGCCATGACGGTGAATAAGGCATTCCGTGAGTCCACATATGGTAGTTTTGGCAGAAGCATTTTGTGCTAGGAAGGCAAATCCATATCCAGAGTAAGTGTCTATTCCAGTAAAGACAAAACGCTGCCCCCTCCATGATGGAAGCAGTCCAATGTAGTCAACCTGCCACCAGGTAGGGATCAGATTTCTACCATGAGTTTTGGGCGAACAACACATGCAAGCTCTATCACTTGCCACAGATGCAAAGCTGAGGAGACAGCATTGGTAACTTGAGCTGTCTTTTTTCTTTGGAATAATATCTTCAGCTTTCTCTTTTTTCCTTTTTAATTTTTTAATTAAAATAAAATGTACATACAGAAGAATGCACACATCCTAAGCATATAGCTCAATGATTTATCACAAAGTGAACGCACTCATGGAACAACTACCAGATCAAGAAATGGAATATACTGAATTCCTCTAACATACCTGGTGTCCAGGCCCCTTCCCCATCTCCACCTCCTCCTTAGTTGCTAAGGTAACCACTATCTGATTTCTAATAGCATACATTAACTTTCACCTTTATGTAACTGCAATCACAGTATATATTCTTTTATGTCTGGCTTCTTTTGGTCTATATTATACTGTTGGTATAACTTGTTCATTGTTGTATAGTATTCCAATGTATGAATATACCACAATTGATTTATGCATGTTATAGTGTTGTTTTCAATTTTCAGCTATTATGAATAATGCTGCCATGAATCTCTTTGTACATATCTTTTGGTGCAATTGCTCATCATAGGGTAAAGTTATGTTCATTTTTAGAAGATGCTGCCAGATTTCCACAGAGGGTAAACAACCTTATACCTTCACCAGCAGCATATCAAAGTCCCTGTTGTTCCACATTCTTAACAACATTGGGTATTGTTATTCTTTAATTTTCCCCATTCTGCTAAGTGGTGTGGTGGTTTGTAATTGCAGTTTACTGATTATGAAAATGGAATTGGTTGCCTTTTAATGTGTTTACTGATAATTTGGATAGCTCTTTTGTGAAGTGCATGTTTAAGTCTTTATCCCTTTTTTTTTTAAAAGAGAAAAATTCTAGAGCTATTTGAAGGGTGATATAGAAGAGGCCATACGAAAAAGTGCCAGATGGATGGAGGAGATGTCAAGAAAAATGTTAACCCAATTGAAAAGCATTCACTCATATAAACTATATGTGTATATAGTGTATATCCAACTATAAAATATATACAAATAGTTGAGTACATACTAGTCAAGCACTGTGCTGGAAACACCCAGACTTTCTCTAATCCATTCCCTTTCATCAGCCAGCGGGACCTTTCTAAAAGGCAAGTGTGATCTTGTCACTCCTCTAATTAAAAGCATCCATTTGCTCCCTCTTCTCTTAGAATGAAGCCCAACCCCTTAAGGTAGCATACAAGGCCATGTACGAGCTGACCCTTGCCTATCTCTCCAGCCCCTCCTGTTAGCCCCACTCTTCTTACTCTCAGGGCTCACCTCCACCCACCACTTTCCACTTGCTGCTGTGCACCATGGGTCTTCCTACCTGGGGTCCTCCCCTGAACCTCCTCATCTCATGCTTCAAATCCCAGCTAAATTTGACTTCCCTGGGGAAGCCTTTCCAAACCCCACCCTCAATTCAGCATCAATTTCTTCATCTTACATCCTCATAACACACTCTCCTTCTCTTTCATAGTATGCATTACTCTATTCGCAAATGGGTTATTTGCATCATTACATGTTTCAGATCACTTTTCTCCACTTCAGAAGGGTAAGGACAGTACCAGCTTCCCCACTTTATCCCCAGTGCCCTCTATAAATACATGACTAGTAAATGAAGGCTGAAAGTACAAGGATGGAAATGATCTGGTTGCTATTGTCTTAGAACCTTTAGTCTAGGTGGTACGAATCCTCAAAAGACTCATGTAAACTAAATACTATAAGACAGGGGAGGGAGAAGGAAAGGAAGGCTTTCTAGAAGAGGTGGGCCTTGAGGACAGGAAAGAACCTGGACAGAAGCAGAGAGAAGCCAAGGACGCTATGTGGCTGAAACCCCACAGAGGCGGGAAGCTGTTTTCTTCTCTGATGGCTTCCCAGTGCACATAGTAAACACTCAACAAAAACATGTTGACTAAGAC